GTGAGGCCCTGTCACAAACAAAAAACAAACTCACTCAATCTAGATATGTAGCTGAGTACCCCTGGAATCAATTCACAGTACTGCAAAATCAAACCAAACCAAAACACTTCTCAGAAGCAAGGTGTGTAGATTGGAGGGGGCCCTGTGCACATGCGGAGACACTACTGCAGTGAAAGTGCACAGTGCAGGTGCCAGGTGCTAGCAGAGGAGATGAAGCCATAGGTTTAGGGTGTTTCAGAGGTAGAAGCAAGGGAGGACGTAAAGATGGAGAGGATAGCAGGAAAGGTCATCAAAATGGTTGGTCATCTAGGGTTACTGTCACAAAATGTAATGGCTTAAGACACCAGTCTTTGTTAGGTGGTCACAGTTCTCCAGTCAGAGAGTGTCTGTTCTGCCCGTGACGTAAATGCTCAGCTTGGCTGCTTGGTTTTCTCCTTGAAGTTTTTCCTTGTGGGCAGCATGGTGGTCTCAAAGGGGTCAGATTGAAATGGCTGGATTTCTCAACTGCAAAAACGGAGGCTGCCAACTCTGCTACTTTCTATTGGTTGTAAGGAATGAAAGGTCACGAAGGAGGCCACAAAAGGGCACGGAGATTACATATGGTGCCAGTTGGTAATGCTGTTTCTAGAAAGGAAGCACCATGTGCGGCTTTGGTGCTCCTCCATTTAAAAAAAGTGTTCAAGCGCTAGCCAGATAGCTCAGTGGACTAAAGCACCTGATTAGGCAGAGCGCAGCAACTGGGTTCGATCCCCCAGTGTACTGTGCCGGCCCCGCCCCAGGGTGTGCTGAGACAGCGATTGAGACTGGGCAAGGTGGCATGTGCCTGTAAACAGGAAGCTGAAAACAGGAGAATCACTTCGAGTGCGATCTATATAGTAAGACCCTGTAGACCCTGTCTGAAATACAGAAATAAATAAAATGTTCACTCAGACTGGGCGTGGTGGTGCACACCTGTAATCCTAGTGCTTCAGAGGCTGAAAACAGGAGGATCACTATGAGTCTGATCTGCTCAGTGAGACTCCGTAGACCCTATACTAAATACATTGAAAAAAAAAAAAAAAAAAGAGTTCATTACCTCCACAGGAAAGATGGTTATATTTTAGGTCTCTCTTCCTGATTCTTGGTTGCGGAGTCCTGTGGGCCACTGTGTGTACCTGTGACATCCATTCTACTGGGGAAGCCCAAGTAGGAGCCTGTAGCCAGGTTTTCTCACTAGATGTTTGTTCCAAGAGCCTGGACTGGATCTTTCTTATTCTTCAACACCTATATGAAAAACTCACACCTGGCGCATAGCAAGTTCTCATATTTTCCTGAATTGAACTTTTTTTTCCCTAAGAGAAAGATATAGTGTCCAGATGAGCTCATGCAAATCTGACTTCCTCCCCAGTACTGGCAGTCAAACCCACAGGTGCTATACTACCGAACTACATCCCCAGCTCTTATTTTTTATTTTGAAGGTCTCCCTAAAATGTCCAGGTGGGACTTGTGATCTTGCTTCCCTCCATGTTTACAGGTGTGCACTGCTATGCCTGGCATTATTGTATTTTAAAGTCAAGATCTTCCTAAATATGGGCCACTGAGAACAAAGCCAGCAAGGAACTTGGATTACACCTGATCTTTTCTTTTCTTTCTTTTTTTTTGAGACAGGGTCTCATGTTTAGCTCCGGTTGGCCTTGAGCTTGTAGTGATCCTCCTGCTTCAGTGTCCACACCATGCTTGCCTCTACACTTGCTTTGTCTGATGCTGAGTGTAGTCTTCACCTGTAGATTGACTGTGGTATGCTTCAGCTGCTGTAAGCTGATAGAAAATACAGAATTTATGGGCTGGTGAGATAGCTCAGCTAAGGACCTATTTAGGCAAGCACAGGGACTGGGGTTTGATCCCTGGTACCACATGCCATGCCGGCCACGCCAATGGGTACACTGCGCCAGCTACTGAGACAGGGTGGGATGGCGCATGCCTATAATCCCAGTGCTGGGGAGACTGAAAACAGGAGGATCACTAGGAGTCCAAGCTGTGTAGTAAGATCCTGTACCAAATACATTAAAAAAAAAAAAAAAAAAAAAGGGAATTTATGACACCATGAATGTTGACTAAACATAAATAATCCCACTATTAGAGGAAAGACTGTAACAGTGGTCATAGCTTCCCTAGTGCCAAGAAACTCCAAGGGGGTCAAGCATGTACAGTGCCAAGGGTGTTACAGGCAGGCAGAGGCCAAGAACAAAGGAAAACCATGAAGCCATCCTCTTTATAGAAAATCATTTAATGTTTTTCTTTGTTAAAATACACTCAATCTAGATGCAGTGGATCAGGTGACCAGAGTTTTGAGGATTCTTACTCCACCAGGAGCTGATTTCATCTGTGTTATCCCTGACTCTGGTCACAGAAGTCACATCTTTAATTCAGAATACTGAGAGGGATGCAAATGATGTCATTCATAGCTAACACACGGGTGGGGAGTTGATGGACACTGCATGAGGTATCAGCGATGCAGGTTTAAAAAATAAGATGTGTAGTAACTTAACCTTTCCAAAAATAAATGTATTAACACACAAAGGCAATACCTTCAATGGGTCTAAATAAATGCATGTGAGGCGCCAGCTCCAGCAGGAGCAGTGCATGCAGAGGTGATGGGCTGGATGTGTGGCCAGCTGTGCCAGCGCCTTCACAGCACCGGGCAGAAAATGAGAAGAGCACACCACTTGGCCAGGCTGCTGCAGCTCATGTCCTGGTGGGGCTTGGCATCACTGCAGTTTCTGGTCGTTTCCACCAGCAAGCAATGTCCTTTGCCTATTGGTCACTGCTCTCAACCTCAGAGGCCTGGGGCTGAGCACGGAAGCCCAGAAGTTTTTGGCTTGAGTAGGTGACCCTGGAGACATGGGTTTCTTCCAGTGTGGCACTGCTGTGACGAGAAGGCTTTCTGCTCCCCTTCACTGCTGATTACTGGAATGAGAGCTTTGGGTTTTGTGCGAGCCCCAAGCCCTGTAATTCAGCCCACTCCCAGCACACAGCTGCAAGCCGGTCCTGACAGCAGGAATAGCCTCACCTAAAGGCGGTGCTGCCAGGGAGTCTTCCAAAGGTCGCAGGAAGAGGAAAGCAGCTTATTCCACTACTGTGTAGACAATCCATCGGAAACATAACCAAGGAATTAGAGTTTAACAAGTTTCTGCAGAGTACCGAATACAGTAGGTTAAACTATCCTTCAGCCAAAGGATAGTTTGAGAAAAGCCAGACGTGAGTGTGTGGCCTGTTAGTAATAAATAGAACAGTACCATCAATGCTGTAAGGATAGACGTGAGCGTGGCATTTAATAGAGTTAGTACCACCTCTAGTTAGCATCTTTACAGGTAAGCCAGCATTACGACACATCCATAAGACGTGACTGCTATGTGTGGGTGTCTAGAGTGGGGTCTTTTAACCTTCATGTTAGTTTCACTATGGCCCATTTTCTAGCAGAGGTTGAGGGTGAGGAGAGCTTTGATTTTAATGTGTAGAGGAACTTTCCAAAAGCACATTTTATAGTGTAAATTTCCCATCACTGAGAGGTCAAAGAGTCCCCCCCCCCAAAAAAAAAAAAAAAAAAAAAAATTCAAATAACGGAACTAAAAAAAAAAAAAAAAAAAAAAGGAAAACAGATTGGCAGCACACATCTGTAATCCTAGCTAGTCTGGAGGCTGAGGCACGAGGATTATGAGTTTGAGGCCAGCCTGGGCAACTGGGCAGCAAAATGCAGCTGCTTCCAGAGCTGCCCTGCCTCTCTGTAGCTAAGTTGTTCCCTACTAGCCACTAAAAGCTCCATACTTTACCTATGAACCCATTTCCTACTTCTGTGTCACACATGTTGAACCACACAACATTTCTGGGATAATCTGGCAGCTCAATCCTGGTTGCTCACCTCCACAGGAAGGCCCAGTACTATGTAGCCTAGGTGATACTGTATTCTTGTGACTGGCAGGAAGACTTGCCTGCCTTTGAGGGGCTTCCTCTTTGTTTGTTTTCTTTGTTTTGTTGGTCTTATGACAGGGTCTCACTGTGCAGTTCAGGGTGGCCTTGAGCTCACATTGTATCCCAGGATGGTCTCAAACTCACAATGAACTTTTTGCCTTAGCCTCCCAAGGGCTGGGATTACAAGTGTGCACCACCATGCCTGGCTAAGGGATTTCCTATTCTGTGTATAGGACTTAAGATGGGAGGGCCCTGCTTCCTAAAGACCAGCAGGGAAACTGTCCTGAATGACTACAGGGCATTTGTAGAAAGATATAGGGGTGCTCTGGGATGGCAGACACAGAGGCATCCTTGGGACTCTTCTTTGCCAGTCTTACTAGTGTCCCCTGAGAATTGGAGGTGATCTCTTACACTTTCTACTTGGCAATTGCCCTACTATCTGGCTACCATATGACCCAGGCCAGTATGACCCAGACAATCCTCTTTGGGCCAACGTTCTCATTCATAAAAACAGGTAAAGCTCCTTCACAGAGTTGTGAGGAGGCTAAAGTAAAATACTTGCGAGAGTCTCTGCTTTAGAGTAAGTTCTCAGTAAATGGTGAACGAAAAAGCACCTCAGATCGTAGCAACAGGGCACTGGGTAACACAACACAGCTTCAGGGAGCATCAATGGATAGGCCACCCCCCTCCACTTCCAGGCTCGAGTCACAGCCGGCTGCTGCCAACGCTGCTTCTCCACTCTGGGCAGTGTACCTCTGTGGAGTATGGGGCCTCAGCTCGAGTGTGATGATTCCAAGTGATGACACCAAGGGGAAACCATACAAAGGTGATTCTCTGCTTCCTACGGTAGATAGGGGATAAGAACCAAGGGGCATAAACACAGGCTTCCACTACAGCTTCTCCCTGGCCCTCTTTTATGCTGTAGAGCTGTCCACTGAACTATTTCAGTCTTCAATTTTTTTTCTGGACCCACTGCCAGAGAGAGTATTAAGAAAATAAAAGAGGGGCTGGGGAGATGGCTCAGTAGAATAAATGCTTCTCTGGCAAGCACAAGGGCCTGAGTTCAATCCCGGTTCCACCAAAAAAAAAAAAAAAGAAAGAAAGAAAAGAACCTCAAATCAGGCAGTTTGCTAATATTCCTTGACTGAACAGAGGTTGGGATAAAATAGAAAATGATGGGCTAAACCTCTTTAGTTTCCCCAAATTCCCCTTAGAAAATGGAAAGTTGAGTAGGAAAAAGTTCAAAGGCTGATTCCTTGGAGTGCTGATGACGCTAAAGAAAAAGAAGTCTAATGCTTGGCAGATGTTGTAAATAACATGAAGCTGCTTTGGCTAAGCCCAGGGATGCCTGTACATTGAGGCTTCACTGAAGAAGGGAAGAAGGAAGAAAATCCATCCTTTCTAAATCCCAAATAGACTTTTTCTTTTTTGACAGTCTCACTATATAGTTTGGGCTGGCTTTAAACTCACTATGTAGAATCCCAGGATGGCCTCAAATTCTTGGTCTTTTCTGCCTCAGCCTCCTGAATGCTAAGCTTATAGGAGCATGTCACCACACTAGGCTGAAAATAGGCAGCTTTTCTGTAATTAGGCCAGTCATAGGAAAAGAAAATTTGTATGCACTCTGCTGCCCTGAATTGCATTCATAAAGACTAGATAGGCATGGAGCAGGGGCTGGGAGAAATACTCTGCCATTCATGTAACCCGCAAGGCCTACCTGCCCATGGAAGGTTGCTCTGGTGACTGTCTGGCTCCATGCTCAATTGTCTGCAACACTGCCCAGCAAACTTTAGCAAATAGGAAAATGTTCATCAGGTCCTAATTTTGTAATATAAAATGGAATTAGGAACATAAATAGTAATAAGTAACAAAACCCAACACTGTGTGGGACTCATCTTCCTCTCAGCCACTTCTGCGGAGGCCAATTAGTTTGGAAAGTTTTTCACAGTTTTCAAGTTTTAGTGATTCTGCTTTCTGCTTCAATCGCTCATCTCGGTATAATCCTGCTAGGTTTGTCAACTCCGACTCTGAAAGATAGGAGAGATAACCAATTCATCAAGAGTTGAGGGCCCACGAGATGGGTCAGTAGACTAAGCACCTGCTTAGGCAAGTGCAGGGACCTGGGTCCGATCCCCAGCACTACATGCCACACTGGCCTTGCCCCCCGGGCGCCTGAGCCATCAAGACTGGGCGTGGTGCACGCCTGTAATCCCAGCACTGGGGAAACTGAAAACAGGAGGCTCACTATGATCTGAGCTGCATAGTGAGACCCTGTACCAAATACATTAAAAAAAAAAAAAAAAAAAAAAAAAAGAGTTGAACTCCTGTTTCATTTCATTATTTCTGGACTCAAAGTGTCTTTTCCTTAAATGCTTTTTCTTTTTTTTGTTTTTTTCAAGATAGGGTCTCACTATGTAGCTCAGGCTGGTCTGAGACTGGTGTGACTTCCTGCCTCAGCCTCCTGAGTGTGGGAATTACAGGCATACACCACCATGCTTGGCTTAAATGCTTTTTCTTCCAATTAAATTTATTCATTTGCATTAGGCACTGCACCAGGTGCTGAGGATTAAAGGACACCTGTGACCCTGTCATCCTGCAGCATCTGTGCTGTATTGTAAAAGCCCTAGGCTTAGCTCTTATCAATAAAACATTTGGCACCCAACTTCGGAAATGTGCACGTGTGCAGTAAGAGGAGACTGTGTGGCCTTCCTATCTGTGGCATTTGGATGGCAGGTGGAGAGATTGAAGCCAGTACCTATTTCTGTCCTGTGAAACAAAGACAGCTGCTTCATTCCCTCCCTAGCCTTTCTGATCATAACTCACGCCCGACACGGGGCTGACCTCTGGTGGGCAGCATCTGTAGAGAGCCAGGCTGCTGGTGGCTTCCTTCCCTCCCGCACCATATGTGGGGTCACCAGCTCAGAGGCAAGGGCCAGGGGGGCTCTTTTAAAAGTGAAATCATCTGGATCTGGTGACCTTTGTCTCCTTGCCTAAATGAATTTCATTTTCTTTTCAAGGCAGAGAAGGTCATCCTATTTTTAGCTGGACTATAATATGTTGTGTTTCTTGACTCCACAGTGGTTTGGCTGCCTTGAGTTTTTATTCTTCTGTGAGGTTTTGGGGGAGAAATGCCACAAGAGGACCTTGGGAGATGAGTTGCTTGCGGAATGCCTCCCCCAAGCCTGAGGCAGGAAGCCCTTAGGGTGTGAAGAACAGTTCTTGTGCAGTGCTATTTTAATCATTTTGAAACATGCCTACCCATCCTTAATCATTTTTCTGGCAGATTTGTTGCTCTTGGTGGAACAAGAGGCACCTGTCTGATTAATCAGCAAACTGCCTGGAAACAGGAATTAATATTTAGCCAGGAGCAACAATAGGCATTGCTTTCTGAGTAAGTTTATGCCCCTACAAAATACTGCCTGGCATTTCTGTTCATATTGATTCTACTTACACCAAGTGAAGCCCAAAGTGCAGCTAGGTGCAGGACTCCAGGGTGAGGGTGGATGTGTGGGAAAGCCTTCCCCATTGGGAGTGCACTGCCTGGCGTAGGCACCTTCATGGAGGGTCATGCACTGCACTCAAGGGAAAACTTCCTACTCCTGGGTCCTGCCCAGGGCTCAGTGCTGTCTCCATTTATTGGGCTTCTTGCCACATGGGAAGAAGGTCTTGGTGAAATCAGCCTACAGCCCTGTTCTTTAGCACCCCAGCTCCATTAGTACATGGAACGGGCTACACAACCTTGCTTTTCATTCAAATTCCTTAGATTCTTTTGTTTACTGACTTTTTCTAGATAACTCATGCCTTGAAGTTTCAGCCCAGAAAACATTAAAGGCTACTAATTCTTAATATTTTCTATACTAAAGACTATCATAAAACCTGATAAACTAGGCAAGGTAGTGCACACCTGAGTCCCGGCACTCAGGAGGCTGAGGTAGAAGGACTGCTGGGAGTTACAAGGCCAGACTGGACTACATAGTGAGTTAAAGGCCAGTGTGAACTTTATAGCAAGATACTGTCTCAAAAAAAAACAAAAAAAAACCAAAACAAAACAAAAAAAGCTGATGAAAGACATTTGTACATGTGCAAATGCTTTTCCTGAAACATTTGCTTTTCTTAGTTACTGAAATCAGATCAGAGACTGCTGCTCTAAGAGATAACACTGTCCAGGCTGGGCATGGTGTTGCAGGCCTACAGCCCCAGGACTTAGGAGGCCAAGGTAGCAGGATCTCCAATGAACTCAAGGCCACCCTGAACTACACGGTTAAGACTTTGTTTTCAAAAAAAAGCAAAACAGGGCCGGCCAATTAGCTCATCAGATTAAAGCACCAAGCAGGCACAGGGGCCTGCAGTTTGATCCCCAGGCCTGCCATGCTGGCCCTGCTCCCCGGGCGCACTGAGACTGGGTGTGGTGGCTTGTGCCTGTAATCCCAGCTCTTGGGAGGCTGTAAACAGGCAGATCACTGAGTCCAATGTAGTAGTGAGACCCTAAATACCCCGTAGACACTTCTCTTAAAAAAAAAAAAAAAAAGCAAAACGAAAAACAAAGAGATGACCCTGCTCAAGGACAGTGTTTCAAGGAATTGTGTCCCACACCCCTACTACTAGGCTTACAAAACTTCTTTCCAAACCGCTAGAGGCTTTCACCCTTCAATGAGCCGAACCAACTAGAAGAATGTTACTTCTGACATATTCTGTTAACATTCAGTAACTCCTAAGTAGCTGGAAAAAAAAATCTGTGGGAGGGTCAAGATCAAGAGAACACTTTTAATTCTTAACAAAATGTTCCCTTTGTCCTCAACACCAGTGTAACCAAGGGACAGAATGCTGAGCCACAATGGTAAATGGACTGGCAAATTGACAAGGGAAGAGTCCCAGAGCCACTCCCAAGAACAAGCTGCGCAGGAACCCAGACTAGAGGCTGATAGCTGGGAGGCCCAACAAAGGCCACCTCCAAGATCCAGCTCCTGAGACTGCTGTCCCCCATATGCGGACCACACAAAGCCCAGATGCCACCAGGCATCAGGCACTTATCTGTTTCAGACACTGTGCTAAGCCAAACCCACAACAGCTCCTAGAACCTCCAGAAGGAAGTTCATTCTACCTTTGTGTGGGAGCCTAAACTCCAGTGCTGCAACCCTACTTAAGGGCCTTGAAAGAATGCTCTTGGCTGTGTGTGGTAGCATATGCCTGTAATCCCAGCAATTGGGAAGCTGAGGCAGGACAATTGTAGGGTTTGAGGCCAGCCTGGGCTATAAAGCAAGTTCAAGGCCAGCCTATACTACATAGAGAGAAC